ATTGTGTGTCATCATTGTTGACTCTCCTATTCCTATCTAATGAGAGTTTTGTAATTTTCAGGAAAGTCAATAGAAAAATATATTCCTCAAGTTAGTAACAGTAACTTTAATAAAGTTTGTGCTCTGAGAGAGAGAGAGAGTTAGGCAAAGCAAGGCTTGGGAAACTAACATTTTTCATCAATGATATGTTGCAAATAATATATAATGACAATAAAAAAATGTAGGTCATTTTTTTAAATTTCTAGATTATAGGAGACTTAGTTTTCACTGACTGAGTTATGCACATGCTAACTTATTGCATAGAAATTAGTAATGGAAGGTTAGTGAATATGTACTTGATCTGGTCTTGGTTGGGAGTTTGATTTGTTTCCAAATGAGATACTGGGAAGTAGACTTTATTCAAAGTGAAAATTTCAGTGTCAATAAGCCAAAACCCATTGCCTATACGTGTCTAAAGCATCACTTTGTGATGGGGAGAGTCATCTCATAATAAAAATAAAAAGCAGATTTCAATTATGTTACCACAGTTTGTTTCCTTAATTCTTAGCTCACCCTGCTCCCTTAAATTTTGTTTCATTTTGTTATCTTTGCTGCTCATTCCAGTAATCTTAAATCTAATTCTGCCCATCTCGGTATTTTTAAAAACTTTCTGCACATGTCAGAGAGACCATGTCTTTCTAGACACTAATAAACATTTGAAGGGTCTTTCTAAAACAAACAAACAAAAAAAAACTTTCATATTTTCTTGTCAATGGTTCTCTGACTCACACCCTTTCTTGTGACTGAGAATGATGATCGTTCTCTTGACCTTTGTTATTTTTCATGGTTCTGTGTTGTGTCTTTTCTATTTGTTCTGAAATGATTGGTCCAGCACTCTTACCTCCCTGTGCCTTTGATATTCTGGAATGTTGGAGTCTATTCTTCAGTATGCACTTGGTACCAAAGTTCTAGTAGTAGCCACTGAGCCCTGAGCATTTTACTTAGTGTGACTAGAGCCCCAGGGTACACCATTGCCTGCCCTAGTGCCACCCCACCATTATTTTTCTTGGAGTTAATCTCCAAACAGATGGACAAAATTCCCACTGGGAGTACTCCTGTCATAATCTTAGAGAATAAAAAGGATTTCTCATGAGTTATCTAACTTTTATAATTCAGGGACCAGAAATAGTAAACGTATCAGGGGAAATCCTAAATTCTTTTAGGTTGGGGAGGAATGGTTTCACGTAGCAAAAAGTACACGTGAACATCATCTTTTTTCCCCTTTTCATATCTGTTATCCTTATGTGTGTGGGTGGGTAGGAGGGACAGGTAATAAGCTATACCCAAATATTTAAACAGGTAAACTATACTAGGTGTTAGAAATAGGAGTGCTATAGATGAAAAGAAAACTGCAATGGGGAATGGAGAATCCATAATCTTACTTTCCCATTATTAAGTGTTTTTAAGATTTGTCTTCATAGTTATTTTTATGAAAAACTGGATAAAGCCAGTTTAAACAGCAACAGCTTATATTGTTATTTGAGATAGCTTTTAGAATGCAATCCGGTGACAACTACATTTAATGATCGGAAATCTGTATTATTTGACATAACAAGGTTAAAAACAAGAGTTGGGAAACATTATTTATGAAAGTTTTTATAGATAATGTGTTGCAAATAATGTACAATGACACCAGGAAGATTGTAGATGAGTTTTCTTTTCTAGATTATAGGAGGCTTAGTTTTCACCAACCAAATGGTACACATATGAACTTAGCACCATATAAATTAGTAATGGAAGAAGGATTAGTCAACTTGATGTGAAAGAGTAACTGCATTTCTCAGGAAGTAAGAAAATAGTTTACTCTGAGCCAAATACAAGCAGAAACGTGTATTCAAGTGACCTAAAGTGCCCTTTTGAACAGTAGAAGAGGATACATGAATTTTTATAGTCACAAAACAAAAGAAAAGCATAAACCACAACATTCACCAAATACGTTAGTAGGACAGCAAGTAGGTGAATTGTAGCAAAGTGGGGGCCATCTGTCCCATGGCTTTCAGATGTTACCTACAGCATTCTTGGCTCTAAGGCTGGTGCACAATACATACTTCCTAAGCTTAGGAATATATCCTGAGATTTTTTCACTCTAATAGTCACAAGATGTTAAGTCACATACAAAAGTTAAGATGAATGGCTATTAAAAGGCCTGAGCTAGTCCAAGGATAATTTTGGCTCTTGACCTACAACATTGCTTGTTTCCATAGATGCAATTTTATTAGTCAGCCAAGGTCAGTCTGCAGGATCTTTAATATTGATGCAGCTTCTTCAGAGAAGCTGTACACTTAAAATTCTTGAAGTTTGGTAAAAGAAGAAAAATAAACAATACCCTCGTCTTGTAAAGTGACTTCTCTTCTGAGAAGAGATGTATAGTATTTTGTAAAAAGCTATGCATAGTTATCCACATCGACGAGATTTGTTGTTACATATTTGGACATGATACAATATAATGCACCAATAAAAATGTGAGAAATAAATAAATTCCTGCTAAAAGCTATGCATATTATTTGGCAGGCATGATGATATATACTTAACACAATTTTATCCTTATAACACCTTCATAGCTCAAGTCTGATTTATCCCTCTGATAAAAATGAAGAAATTAAGATTTAGAAAGCTTAACTAATTTTCCCAGGGGAATATAGCTAGTAAGATCAAACCAGGATTGAGCCTAAATCTCTTTTGAGTCAAAGGACATATTTGTCATCACTATGTTTTTCAGATGCAACCTCTGACTTGAGCTAATCAGAATTAACAACACATGCATTGGTTTTAGTTCAAACTGTGCATGATTTTGTTTCTGCCTAACTCCAACTTTGTTTGGACTCTGCCCTTCATATTCCTATTCCTAGCCACACACTGGAATTTTTCTGATCTTTAAATGACACATTTGAGATCTTTGAATATACTGAATCCTTTGTTTGCAATGTTCAAGAGGCTTTTCCCTATATGGTTTCAACCTTCTCTAGCAAGTCTTAGCTGATAACAGTCTTATTTGTGCTCGGTTTTCCAAAAGTGACTTCATGTGAAATAGCTTTTCCTCCCATTTCAAGTCTTCATTATCATCTGTTGATTTCTCTCATAGCATGTACCTGATCTGAAATCATCTGTTCATTTATTTGCTTGTCTCTGTTTTCAAAAGTACACACTCTTCCAGGGAGTGGTTTTTCTCTCTTAGTACTGTTTCTATAGAACTTAGAATAGCCCTTGTCACATCATAAATGATGGAAATTGTTGAATGAAAAATGGGTAAATGAATTTGAAATTTGATTCCATTTGGTAAAAATGTCTTAATAATCTTTTCATCATTACCAATGACTTAATAATTAGTCATTGGTAATGATGAGCATTCTAAATCATGTTTCAGCCTTGATCAGCACACATAAATCCATAACCATATATGTTGGAACTTCTGCTTTGGTTTTAACATGCTGAATAGTAGTTTTATTTAACTAACTCTTCAATAGTTACCTGAAAATGAATGTTTATTTATTAGGACATAAAACACTTCAGCTAATTATCTGCAGCAGAATAATAATGTCTTAGAAGTATAAGTTTTTTTTAAAGAGAGAGGAGAGAGAGAGAGAGAGAGAATTTTTAATATTTATTTTTTAGTTTTCAGCGGATACAACATCTTTGTTTGTATGTGGTGCTGAGGATGGAACCTGGGCCGCACGCATGCCAGAGGAGTGCGCTACTGCTTGAGCCACATCCCCAGCCCATAAGTTTTTTCTTTACCTAGACAATAATTTAGTATGCACTGAAATGTTTTATACTTAGTATACTAAGATTATTTAGAAAGGAAAAGGTTTTTTTAGAACCAGGATCAGAAATTCAAAACTAGGCTTTTTCCATTCTATCAGATCTCCCCCTAACACCTTTTCCCCCTTATTATACTGATATTCATATAGAATAATAGATTATGTATAAAAAGGTATTTCAGAAGTAAAAATATCAATATTAATCAAAGCTACCAGTTTATTTTTTATCCCAGGAAACAGTAGGTTTTGAGGGAGATTAATGTCCCCCACTGGTCCATTGTAGGTAGCTGTTGTGTAGAAGCAGAGGCCTGTGGGAAGGCTCTCCAAACAGAAAGGGGAAGAAGTGGCAGAATCAGAATGAAACAATATCATGAGAAGTTTTACACATTGTATTTGCTCCAAGTTATCAACTGGACCTCTATTATATGTAAACCTCATATTTCAGAAGCCACAAACTTAAAACATCAGTTGTAATAACCTATGGATTTTCCTGTAGGAGTCTCATGAAAAAAATAATTCTTAATTTTTCAGACATTTTTCTTGAAAATAGGGTTAGGTTTACACAAGTCAGTTCACATACACATTTCTATAGAATAAGATATACTTTACCTTTTATAACTTCTTATAAGCCAAAGATTTATCTTCTAAGGCTGAAAAGAAGCAAACTCTGTTTCTTGTATTTATAAGGAGATGAAAGAATGTAGCCTTGTCTGTACATGTACATGAACGCACAGTGAATGGGATATATATATGAAACATCCTATGTAGTTTAAAAATGAATTTTACCTAAAAATGATGATTATCAAACCAGAAAAAATAAGTCCTGTATTTTCTACTTTATTCATATTCTTTAAAGGTTAACAGCAACACATTGGCTCATTTACTTTTATATGGTAGATCACATGGACTCCAGTGTACATGATATGAAATAAATGCTTTTTTAGGCAAATACAATGATTTTTAGGATGACTCAGTAAAACTTTATTTTCTACAGAGATTTGTTTATAAAAATTAGCACATGATAATAAAGGGAAAATCATATTTATCTTCAAATGACTATGTTTATAAATCATGGAATCAAAGACTCTGAGACTGATGAGGATCCAAGGGCTTATCTTGTTGAAAATATTCCTTATAGGAATAGGGATAGAGTCTTAGAATCTGACTATTATAATGGGGTTTTGTCTTGTTCTGTTGGTGCAGGAATACATGGACTCTAATAAATACATTGAGCATCTGCTAACTCAACTGGAGGAGCAACACAGAAGTCTCTGGAGGTGAGTAGAATTCATGTTCTTGTCTTCCTTGTTTGTTCAGGTAGTTGTCTCTATAGCTTTGAAATTGACCATGGGTCAGGAGTTGGAAAAAGGAATTTTCTTCTAAATGGTGCCAGAGGCACCTTTGTGTATAAGAATAGTCAGAGGCTACTTAAAGAATGTGATTTCTTTAGTTAAAGTAAAGAAACAACACCAAAAGTTGTTCTTGAGTCAGATGTGCACCGTGCAAGAAGGGTGGTGGGAATTCTGAAACTTGTCAAAGTCAAGGAATTAAAGATATTTCCCAGGGCTGCATGGCAAACTTACAATGTGGTGGGAAATAGAACACAGATTCTCTGATACTAAGCTACTGAAAGATTTTCTCTGAAAGGTGAAAAATGTCTGCTTAAAAGTTCTGCTTCTTTTTGTCTTAAAGGGGAATATTTTGGGAGAACAGTTGTGAAGTTCTCTGATATTTAGTTTTAGTTTTACTTGGTGGGTTCTGACTCTAGGTAAAGAAGCCATGTCAGAAATAGAAATTAATAAAATAGGAGTCACATTCCCAAGTTGCGTATACATTCCATGACATCTCTTGGGAATACACTGGCAAAGATGTTTGACGTCATTATTTAGCTCTTTAGGGCCCTTATTTTAGAGCCTTGTTGTCTATGAATACTATTATGAAATTTCATTTTCCTATTTTAAGCTTCTATAACTCTTGATTTTTGAAATATGCTAATGCTTAATTACATGATGCTTCACATGATACTAGAAATTTTTCATGTAATTACCATAGTCTGGTGAAGGGTCAGCAAGCCTCTAACCTCTTGAAGGGGAGAGCTTTCTCTGTATACTGAGATGGTAGATAAGTATATATTAACCCTGAGACTTTCTTACCAAACCTCATCCAACTCCATCACCACTGAACTCCAAGTAGGTTATTCCCTCTTCATTCATCTTTCCTAAGTAGTTCTAGTAAAACACTATATATTTTAATTCATTCTGTTCACATGGTTTGCCTACTGGAGAACAGATCTCTGATCATAGTAATAAAAAATATTCTTTTTGTATATATAGAAAAACTGCTGGTAGAATACAACAGAAGTTCAGTTGTTAAGTTTGCCCCAATAACAGGGACAGTTATTTTTATATTAACTAATACAATATTTGCTAGATTTGTTTATGAGAACCATAACCTAGTTTTAATAATTTTCTTTTGTGATCCAGTGTCCTAATAAAATCTACAACTATGCATTTATGGTTGTGTGCCTTTTTAATTATATTCTCCATGGATCTATTAGAAAGCATATTTTTAAACTGATATGCAACTGGTATTCAATAATATATTTCAAATACTTGTATAGAATATTTTATTTATCCTATCTTTCAAGAGAAGAATATACAAAAGTGATGACTGCTTTCTAATCAAAGAAATTTAGAGTTTAATTTGGTCAGGAAGTGTATCTTAAATATATCATTGTGGAATAGTAATGGTTTCATGGGCTCTTTGAACTAAATAAAAACCTGCATGAAAAGGGCTATTTTTCCTGTTTTCTTTCGGTAGCTAATAAAAACCTTTTGGTCTTCTCACATATGATTAAATTAAAATCCTATTTCAGGCATGGAGTTAGCCTAACATAAAGTAAAAGCTCAGAATTTTGTGTGCATTCACTTCCATTTTCCTTCAGAAATATTACTGTTGAAGAAGCAAAGCCTTTTATGTGGAGTTGTAGGATCTAATAAAACAGCTCTATTTGAATAACAATAGAAGGCAATAATGACATTTGAATAGTCAGAATAACTACCAGTGAAAAAAATGGAAATAGTAGCATTGAAAAGAAAATGAAAACCAATGATAGCAGACTTACATACAATTTACTGAATCATGAAATTACATTTGATTATATTTTGCAAACAGATCCTGACTTGATTGACTTAAAGTGATAGAGTTTAAGATGATTATTATAATATCATAACTACAGCTGTAGCCAAATTGTTTTTGGTGAAGAATATATGAATATCATGGAGTAGTGTGGGAAATTCTTTCTAGTTATGATTAAGTTATGTAAACGCATCATTCATGGGTTGGGGTAGAATCCATGATGTGCAGAGGATCATGAAAATAACATAAATGGTATGTTATTCTCATACCATGTACATAAGAATGACTAGATTGCCTGAAGTTAAACAAATATTCCCATAAACAGTGTGACTCCTGTGATTTTATTGAGCTTTTGAATTTTGGTTATCATGGAGTGGGCTGTTTGTCACTGCTGCTAATATTAAATGATGAACTTTCATTTACATACCTTGGAAGACAAGTTCTGAATATATTTAGATCATCCAGTAGTAACTATGGTCAGCATTATTTTATGGCTGCCCCTTTTGATCAAAATCATGGTGGTCATGAAACATGCTCTTTTTTCTGCTTAGTGAATGATAAGAGTTGGAAAAAAATGATAGAGGATTTGGTATAATGATTACAAAGCTTCCTTGTCTTCATGAGAGGTTACAAATCTTATAGCTTAACAATCTGCTATAATAAAAACATTGTTATCACATTCAAGTTATTTTGGGGTCCTATTTAGAATTCTACTGAAATAGACCTATAATCTATATCTGAGTTTTCAAAGTGCAAAGGAATTTGTGGAGTTTAAATTTAGATATCCAGCAACGAGCAATCATTTAGCTCAACTCTTTATACCAATATATTTTTTCTGAAGAGGTAAACTTCTGAGAAGTCATTTAATGAAAAGGATAAAGTCAGAATCTAGAATTGAATCTAAACCCACCCAGATTTATACTTAATTTGTAATTTGTTCTTCATCTCACTGCTTGATTTAAACAAACAAAAAAATCATTACAACATATACACTGGTGTTTAAACACAATCACCATTTCCTGCATCTTTATTTGCTCTGATATGGAAACTTAATATTTAAAGGAAATGATTACTTTGTACTTGATGATTTTCCTATCATGTGTCGCTATTTCTGATTTGGTTAAATATATCTGTGACTGACAAGAAAGATTCTGTTAAGAAAAAAACTGCTGAGAATATCTTTCTCCTTACATTTGATAAAAATCTTTATCCATTTGCAGCTTCAAATTAAGAGTTTAGAATAAACACAGACAGTTGGGAAATACAAATCAAATTCATGAATATTTATGGCATTAAAATTACTCTTTCATGCCACGTGCAAAATTATGTATGAAAAAATGGATGCAGCATCATACCATAATAATGAAAAGAGGACTGGCCTGGAGATTTTGGGGATTTGGATTTCTGTCTCAGCCTATCCAAATTAGCAGTTGATTAACATCTCTGAGACTGAGTTCCTTATCTTTAAAAAGAAAAGTAGTAATATATCAAGTATTTGAGATTACTGATTGCTGAAATTATATGAACCATAAAGTCTAGAAGAGTGTGTTGCATTTATTGACCATATAAGAATGTATGTTTTTGATAATACTTAAATATTGTGAATTGATACTACACAATATATATGTATCATAGAAAACTGCAAAGAACAGAGTAGACATGACTACTAAACATGCCTAACAGCTTTCCAGTAGTGTACCCAGAAAATATCAATGTATTCATTTTAGAATATTCATTATGAATATTCTATATTAATGAGTCATATTGGAACCTATAAGTTAATAAGGAAATCTGCATGACAAAAATCACGTGACTATCTGGTGAATGAAGAGTGCTAGCTGCCAACCCAGAGATTCTAGATCACCTAAATCCCTAATCCAGCTGTACCTGGATTAGGCTCTCTCAACAAAGGCACTGTTGGCATTCGAAGAGAGGTAATTCTTTTTCATCATGGAGATGGGTTGTCCCATGAATTGCAGGATGTTTAGGACCATCCCTAGCTTTTACCCACTACCTGCCAGTAACATCCCCTACTTAACCAAAAATGCCTTCCGAAATTTTCTGAGTATTCCCCAGAAGACAAAATCGTTTCCTCTCCTCACAAAGAACCAGCACTCGAAGTGATCTATGTAAGTGTTTTCCTAAGCATATTCCAAGAAACACTAATACACTAGATCACTGTGTGATAGATATTTTGAGGAAAAAAAAGATGAAAGTATGCTGTGGCCAAATCTGAAAAATACTAGATAAAACAAGGCTTTAAGTTTTTAAATCTCATTAATATTGTTAATACGTGCTAAGTATATTTATGCAAACATGATACAACATATAATTTTGACTTTTTAAAAAGTCCTCAAATACTACCTATTTTGAAATATTATCCGTGGATAAGGTTTCAGGAACATGCCTTGGGAAATGGTGATCCATATTCTTGATATCCAGATGTATATGACTTGTACTTCCCCTCCCCTTCCTCACAGGTCCTGTGCTGGGTGATGTGGTGAAAAGTCACCTAAGAGTGCAGGGACTCTAACTTGTTAGTCAAAGGGGAAAAGGCAATATTTAGAAATTTAGTCCCAAGTTTTTCACTACTTTCCAGAAGGGTTACACAAGCCTCAACACTAAACTCCAAGAATCTGTAAACTGTAGAATACAAACTGTTTGCCCTGTTGAAGCACTTAACTCCTGCTTCCCAAAGTGGGAAGCACATAAAAAGAATCTCACTTTTGCCGAGCATGGTGACACGGGCCTGTAATCTCAGCAGCTCGGAAAATGAGTGAGGCAAGAACATGGCGAGTTCAAGAGCCAGCCTCAGCCACAGCGAGGCACTAAGCAACTCAGTGAGACCATGTCTCTAAATAAAATACAAAATAGGGCTGGGGATGTGGCTTAGTGGTCGAGTACCCCTGAGTTCAATCCCCGGTACGGAAAAAAAAAAAAAAAAGAATATCACTTTTACCCACCAACATACACATTTGTTTATACATAAAAGAGTGATATTAAAATTGCCTGCTGGGAGTCCACATGGCTACTTCTGATGAAAAACAAAATTATTGGTAATGCGTTATCTGGAAATTGTAAAATAAGAGGTAAGAAACAAAAGCAGATACACCCTGAGTAGCATCAGGCTCAGCATCTC